AAATTACCAAATACGTTTGTGTCTGTTTTAAGGTGGTCTTATAGATAGTAACACGCTGACCGAAATTTGCCTCTTTAAAATATGTATTTAGTTATACGAGATATAAGATTAATTAATCCACCCTTTCTTAACTATATACAAGTAGATTAAAAAAAAAAACAAAATTGAAAATTATTTAATAATATTTTATAAGTTACCTTCCAAAGTTGAATTGGCAATTCATATTTGGAATTTGAATAACAAGGTGTTTCGGTAGCTTAAGTTACTAGTCCACAAATGCTTTTTAACTTACACATTATCAGAAAAAATACTCCCTATTTAATTTTCTAGTGCTTTAAAGTGCTTATCTACACCCTCTAGCAGATAATCAAAATTGATTATACTGCAGGGGCCATGGAAGTTTTTTCTAAATAAATTTACAGCTTCTTCGGGCAGGTGGTAAAATATTAACCAGAATTTATCTAATCATGGCCTTCAATAATTTGATGACGTCTTGCATGGTAAATACTATTTAAATTTTATACGGTAACGTACTCTTATACTTGTGGTTTATGAATACGCCTTGATTAGTCATCCAGATTTTCGTAAAAAATAAAAATTATTATTTAACATATACTAACATAAAACGAAAGTTCCATACGTTGACGAGATTTTATTATTTCTAAAAAACTGGATTTATGTTATTGTACATTTGCACATTTTCAATTTTCTAGCAAGTTTTTTCAGGTGTTTGAAGCCCATGTAGAGCAGTCACGGCAAAACATTGTAAAGTTCACTTAGCATAATTACGTACATATTTATAAACCAAACAAAAATTTTGTTGACAAGAACACGAGTTTTTTAAATGTCTATAAAAAGCAAGGTATTTAAGGCCGTTACAGTGGGTGTGCAAACTAGAACACTTGTTATGTATTTGTAGAATGTACAGTAATTTATTTACAATACACAACAACAAACGCTATTTATACGACCAATAAATTTTTAAATTAATTTGTAACGGGCACTACAAACTTGTAAATTAACTTTCAAATCATGAAAGCAGTTTTATAGGGGACAATTTGTAACGTAAAAGCCATAAAAGTTCTCCAGTCTATACCAACCGAATACAATTTCAAAACAACCGCTTGATGATTATCAATTTTGATAATTATCAAAAAGCAACCGAACATGATTAACGTAAAAAATAACTCGCTCCGATTTCTCAATCCTAAATCTATTGTGTCAGTTGCTTTATCAAATTTTCCTCTCCGCAGGACAATCTGCACCTTTTATCAATCCAATCAGTTTTTCGTGCGCCATACCACAAAGTCACGCTCCCGGATTGTCGGGAAGACCGTCAACAATCGATCATGATTAATATTTCAATTATTCCTTAATGACGTCTGTAATCTTCTCATCAGCTGTAATACAAATACCGTCCTTGAAAAGAACTTCTTCCGTTAGTGAATCGAGCACTATTCAATTTTTGTAATAAAGCTGATGACCTGGTGATTTTTCTATAGAAATAGAGTGACCTTGACACAAATTCTGCTCCCAAAAAAGTCGAATCAAATCACATTGTGCTCGTGGTATATTTTCATTCGAATCTTTGTCATGCCTCCATAATTCAATCATAAAATTAGCCACAGAATCTAATCCAGCTGGGTTCGTTGACATTTTGCATGGAAATCGCCCAAGACGCGAATTTAATTAACATGTTGGCGGGCAATTACTAAAGATCTGTTTCAAATCATAACAATCATGGCCAATAAAAAGCCGCGAACGTGACGTTTAAAAGCGCGCCAAAAAAACCTTCATTAATAATTACAATATAAATAAACACACGCGTTTCATCTACAAGGTTGTTATTTAATAATAATAACAATAATAGTACGCCAATAAATCATCGTGCTGGATATTACACGACCAAAATTAAATTTCGGCTTACGAAATTTAATGTAATTATGATTTATAACCAAAGAATGTATTATTTAGCGATAAATTATCGTGGTACAAGTGCTGCCCTCCTACTGATTCATATTTATGTATTCTAAAGCCGGCTTCACATTGTCATTCTAACCTAAATTTGTGTTTTATTTTTCTGTTAATTAAAACTGCGCTCGGATAATATCTCGGATGCATTCGTTATCTTTGACGTATCGTAAAATGCCTTTCTTGGCTAATTACTGCGGTAAAAGCCGATCGATGTCCGTGCAGATAATCGAGGAAACTTAACACTTTAATTGAAGTTATTGTTCTTTGATCCAAATTGGTCAGACTCCAAATGAGGAATGAAATAAACTTTCTGCTAATAGAAATCCATTACGGAATCGGACATTAACTACGTCGGTATATTTCGTTCCAGATTTCGATGAAATTACACGAAACACTTAACGGCTGTCTGCAAAATTTCACTATTCTTATTGTATTACACAATAAATCGAGTTTAAGTCAAATTAATTAAACGATCAATGTTTTAATTTGCATATTTCCTACATTCCTTTATAGGCACAATCTAGGTATTCTACGCTTGTTGTAACTTTTTAGTAATTTCTTATTGTATTATTAACTATTACTAAATTCGTTCTTATATGTAACATTATTTTAATAATTTTATCAATAAAGGTCAGTTGGATTAACTCTTGTTAATGGTAACCAATAAATTTTAATTTTATTATAGAGGAGAACGAATAACTCGAAGTTCAGAGTTTACACAGATAGGAACCCTAAGTTTTGCGACCTTTGCTTAAGTATGCATCCCTTCATTCGGCTTATGTTTCACAAATCGATTATACGACGTATCGTAATGCTAATTGAAATTTTGAAAAAGTGCAACATTTAAACATAAAGTGTAGTCCGTCAAATAGTGAATTTTGGCTTTTCGTTTCCAAAAGTGCGTATCGGAAACCCCTAAACCAAAACTCAGTATTATAATGACGATTGCCTGTTTCTGAGTTGGTTATCCGAAAGAATCAAAAGTTTAGCGAATCGGACGTCGTTAACCATTTTAACCTGAAGTGTGTTCATGCATGTCTGATTCATATAATCTCTGTTTGTTTCAGGCAAGCAATCGGAAAGAATTATCGTACGTAATTTACCGGTGGCGTCCAATAAACAAAAAGTTAATGTTCACTATTTGGCGGGCTCTACTATACTTACTTTCATACCTGGCACTTCCATTCAGTTTAAATGTTTAAAGTGGTCGCTGACATTTGAGCTATAGATGGCGAAATTCGCGGAGCTGATGGCACTATTTGATGTTGGGTTTAATTATGCGTTTGCGTGATTTGTTTTAAAGGAAATCTCACTTTCTCAATAAAATAAAAAAAAGCTTAAGCTACGGAAATATTGTAATATACCCTATTTGATGAATGGCTAATTTTATGTTTTTGCGACCTTTTAGAAGATTTGATGCTTCTGTACCTATGATTTATCAATCCACCCTAAATTTTCAATCCAATGGAAGTGTTAAAAAAAACAAAATTTGGTAACAGAAAAAACTTTTTTGAAATTTTACCCAAATATTAACCCTGATTACAAAATAACGATTAAATTTATTCGTTTTTTATTTATTCGTCCTCTCCAGAAAGTGCGTATATCAAATCAAAATTGTATTAATTAAATATTTGTTAACAAATGTGCTTTAGGATACAGCTTTATGTGCGCTTCGGCAATATAGTTTTATTTTTATATTTTTTTGAATTGTTTATTTAGTGTTGTGGGATTTATACAAGAAAGATTTATTAATAAAAATATATATGTATAGGTGAACCAGTATCGAATATCCTTATTGCGGACGTCCGAGTGTACAGGAAATTGCGGCCCTCCACGCAATTCACTCGCCGGGTATGAAATTCCGTCATCTGACGCAGTCTTCTCGTCATGGGGTCGGTTGGGAATCGCGGGTCACCTAGTATTTGGGTTTGCGGCTCCTGACGCAGTCATCTCGTAGTGCGTTGGAATTGCGTCACTCGGTGCGAATGCGTTGTGTCTCTGTCTGTCTTCTCTTTGTCGTCTGTGGTCTATTGGCGATTTTATTAAATAGATAATTTCCGTAACTATTGGACTCATTGCTGTGAAATTTTATAGGTTTATTAAGAAAATCATGTAGATGGTCATATCTATAGTTCATGGATCCACCTTTACTTTTCATCTAAGACATCCAGATTTTTGGAAAAAAAATCATATGTGTATAATAATGTAAACTAAGAAAGTATTCCAATAGGGTCCATTTGGGTAATGGTTACTTTCATGTTTTCTGACGTTTCATGACTCCTAGAGTAGGAACAAATAGATTTTCTGTTTCGTCTATGTATCGTCTGCCATCTACCGCCTTCCGTTTGCCGTCTTAATTTATTTTGGTGCGGGAGCACAAGGGATCTCTTTTTGACAGGTTGAAAATAATGGTTCTAAGTAATATCGTATTACATAGTCGATCACCGGGAATGGTAAGAGGTTGACGGAAAAGTCGAGTAGGCGTCACAATGTTACTGATGAATCTACATCATTTTTGTTGCTACCTAATTGCTCTGACGCGAGGTTTAGGTGCATAATCACACTTGCGAGTTACCCCTTTACCTACAAGAACCCGCTTTTACTGACTATAGAACCAAAAGCATGTCCTAGAGACATGGTTTAAGAGGCAGTTATTTGTATTTGCTCCTCCAACTTATCCTAAGAGCATTTTCAATTAAGTAATATTGAAGAAATAGAATAGTTCGAGTGCTACAACGTTTAACGAGTGTATAATGATACTAATTACTGATGAGCCTCAAATTAGTGCACTAGGCGATTAGAAGACATTTTTTAAGTCACTCAAAGCTCAAGCCCCTAGTATCAGTTTTGTAATTGCAACATACACCCGTGAATAATCAATTGTTACTCACAGCCGAGAGAAAGGACTCAATATTCACCAATCGAAGTCACTGAATAGGACTAGAAAACCACATTTGGTTTTCCAAAAAACAACCAATAAATTATAATTTTAAATAAGTTAATAATTTAATATAAAAAAATCAGCACAACATTTCGTACAAAGCAAAATCAACAACCTTACACAAAATGCTCAACAGAAATTTTCAAATATTTACAACACCAGTCGACGTTTCAACACTTAGAAATATTTGGAAGCATAACCGGAGGCATAACCGCCATAACCGGCATATCCCAAACCGGAGTAACCAGCCAAACCAGAGTAACCAGCCAAACCGGAGTAACCAGCCAAACCGGAGTAACCAGCCAAACCGGCATAACCTCCCAAACCGGCGTAACCACTCAAACCGGAGTAACCAAGACCTACAGCGGGAGCGGCATAGCTAAGAGCGGGGGCGGCGTGGGCAACGCTGAGGGCTGGGGCGGCGTGGGCAACGCTGAGGGCTGGGGCGGCGGCGTAGCTCACGGCGGGAGCGGCATACCTAACGGCTGGGGCCACAGCGGCGACAGCGGGGGCGGCATATCTAGCTACAGCGGCGACGGGGGCGGCGTACCTAGCTACAGTGGCGACGGGGGCGGCGACCCTAGCTACAGTGGCGACGGGGGCGGCGATTCTAGCTACAGTGGCGACGGGAGCGGCGGCTACGGCGGGAGCGGCGTAGGCTACGGCAGGGGTGGCCTGAGCGGTGTAAGAGTAGGAAGTGGCGACTGGGGCGGCCTTAGCGACGGCTACGGCTGGGGCAGCGTAGGAGACGGCAGGGGCGGCGTAAGTGGAGACGGCGGGAGCGGCGTAAGATACGGCGGGAGCAGCAGCGTAAGTGGAGATAGCGGGCGCAGCGTAGGAGGAGATGGCGGGCGCAGCGTAGGATGAGATGGCGGGGGCGGCGTAGGAGGCGATGGCGGGGGCGGCGTAAGAGATGGCAGGGGCGGCGGCGTAAGTGGAGATGGCTGGAGCGGACAAGAGACCGGCGTTGGCGGCGGCCAAAGCGGCGAAGAATACTACGAACTGGAGAAAAATTACGTGAGAGTTGAATTAATAGACTGGGGTGGTTTTTTTACCTTAGCTGCCATTTTGTGTGTTGGTTGATGATTGTGCTGTAAATGATGCTGGGTTTGTGCAAAGTGCTAGCTTTTATACCAAAAAGTTGACACATACGCAGTGGGTGTGTCGCTGCAACCACTTTTGAAAGGGATTTAACCAGTTTTAGTAAAGATCACTTATAGTTGAATTCTCGTTTTTATTATTTAACCAATTTTTAGGTTCAGTTTTTTATTGGATAAATGGTGTTGATCTGGGTGAAATGTCACAAATTAGGGTAATAGATCTCAGAGTAGATTAATTAAGGCTGTCTTCGGAACGGATATATAAATATTTAAGTGCGCTGTAAAACAACACTCTCATGTCATTTTAAGAAAAATAGTAACTGTCCAGCTTCCATATAAGCAATGCAATATGTCTCACGCCTGTTTTCTAAAGCAGCACACTTTTCCAGAATAAAGTCATTTTGCAAATTTTTTTCCAACACTTTCTGACCCATATTTTAATAACTTTTAAAGCGCAAACTTCCCTATTTATCTGTACTAGTGTTTTGTATGTATATGACATTGCTTATGACATTATCTGTCCATTAAACTTAGAGTCAGATGGCTAGTAATAATTTTTTAGATGGAAATTCTAGCTTTTAATAATATATACATTTTAAAATAATAAGAACAATTTCAGATAAACGCGTTGGCGTTACAATTGTTAAGTGCTCCTCCTTACTAACTAAATAAACGAAAATTTTACAATTGCACAAACCACAAGTATCAACAAGGGGTCGTCTTTTACCACTCTCCAAGTCAATGGACAAAATATACCTAACTAATATTTGTTAAATTTTATAAAATGGCATACTCTTGTAATTGTGGTTATGAATGGTTCTTGATTTTTTAGCCTAGACTTCCGATTTTGGAAAAAAAATCAAAACTGTCTAACACGATTTTACAATTTAACTTAGAAACAGTAAAACCGAATGCTCTGAAATCTTAAATGTTATTAGAAACCATATCCTAAGAAAACGTCATTTAGTACATGCAGCACATGATAATTCTTCTATTTACATCCCCAGCGTAAGTCAAGGAAGTACGTATAGTAATTGAGTCAATCGGGCGACTTGCCTGTTTCATGTTTCCTGGACGGTACATGTCCCGAGTAAGAAAAAGTGATCTCCCGTTTCCGTCTCTCTGTCTGTCTGGCGCCTGTGTCGGTTTTTATTAGACAAGTAATCTCCGAAAATACTGGACTGATTGTTGTAAAATTCTGTATATGTACTACAAACATCATGTAGATGGTTAAACGCTATCCACAATTTGGCGAATCATGTCCACCAACAATCTGATGACGTTATCACAAAGAATTCTATTATAAAATGATTTATTTATACATTTATTTAGTGATACAAAAATATACTCCTATGTTTGTGTTGTACAAATCCCCTTTGAGTGTTTTCCCTAAACGTTCAAATTTTCGCACAAAAATGAATACACTATAAGAGCATTTTACCACAAAGTACATAACCTTCCGTGGGGTAGGGACTAAAAGATCAGCATGCGGACCGGCGGTCGTATACGTTTGATGCCAAACTTTGCCATTCCTTTTTTTCTTTTGTGCTATGACTAGTATTACATATCTATATTGATGACGTTACCACAAATTTTCTATTGATCAAATTAAGAACGCGTCAACCCATGTTTTCGAAAATGTTAGAATATGCACGTATTTATGTAATAATGATAAAGTAAGAATTCTAACATTCAGAATGTTTTGTTCCATTGTGGCTTAATTAATAATTTTAGTTCTCTGTTTTGAAGAGACACTTTCATTCACATGAAACTAATTTCCACGTGACAATATTTTGATCATAAACACGTGAACTAAAGTTTGTCGTTTACTAGTGCTGAGAGGATATTGTTATGGCTTTACTTCGTAACAATATTTTTTCCCGTTGGTTATCCGTTTTAAATATTTTTAACATTTTCCGTGCTTGGGAGTGCAAATTATTGGCGCAGGGGCTGCAGAGGTGTTATTTATTTTATTGAGTTTATTATTAAAACGAAAGTCTCGAAATTAAATTTTATAATTTTTTAAAGAAGCAGAATTTCAGAAGTTCTGTCGAAATAACCCTCAACCAATGTTTTGTAAAAAGGAATCTCAAATAAAAAGTGTTCAACGGGTTAAACTTGTCAAGAAAACATTCTTTATACTAGTTGTTATCCCTCATAAAAAAATATATCTTATCCTATATACTTATTTTGTTATTTGCATAATTTTACTTATTTGAAGAAGTAGGTTTTAAAATGATAATAAAAAAATGCCATATTCAGGTAAGTATTTCTGAATACTTTACAGTGTTTTTTAACTAAGATACTTACGCATAAAATTTTTCACCTAAAACTTTTTAGAGACAATTTCTACTCTTGCAGCTGTAGATTTATTAATCTAAAGACGCTAAAAGACTACAAAAATTTAAATAAACATTTTTTTAACATCAAGCCAACGATTCAACATAGATAGAAAGTCGATGAAAAAAAAACTATTGCGTTGCGGAACGAGTTAGACGTGTTCTATTCAAATGCCCGTTTTAAAAATTTTGACATTTTTATATAAAGTAGACCATGCCATCCCTCAAAGCAGTACTGCATATCAAAAGTTTGCCCGTTTTACTATAAATATCAAGGTCTATAATCCACAAGTGTAAGGATGGTTAACGTAGAGCGAAAGGAGTTCTAAGTGGATACGTATCTGTTATACAAACTACATCAGGAATTCCTTGTGTAAGTGGTTGTGAAATGATGCTAAAAATGTAAAAAAAATCCCAACAATGTGAATCTCGCAAACCTATCGACATGTCGCACATAGAAAGTTTATAAATTAAACAAAGTTTTCGACGCGTTCACGTAGATTAGAGCGCGCGTGGTGAATCTGCTCAGCAAAATTGTTATCTACTGTGCATGTTGTAAAACCCATTAGGCTACATAAACCAAAGAACAAAATTATTATATATACTCTTTCAAAAAATTATGTTCCAGTGGGAAAATTACTTTTATCGCATAACTTTGAAGATTATTTAAAATATCATGATTTATGTTAAATCGTTTCCAATTTTAATTTTTTTAACGTCAGGTAATTTCTTTCTCAAATCTCCATGGACCTGCTATGATCATATACTGGACACAGTCTGAGTCGTCCTTTGGCAACAAGCTGACTTGACAACTGTAGTGGTACGGTGGTTGGAAATCGTTGGCTGTAGCAGAAGGTTATACAGAAGATTCGGTTTCTAACAAGATTGAGATAGCCAAGAGATACAGGATTCAGTCAAGCACGCATCGAATTATTATTCGGCCTCGACTCTGCAGATCAAATGAACGAATCTGTGTCTATTTGTGATCCTTGAAACGCGTTTGTAGTATAAACATAAATCAGATAATTTTAATAATACCTACTGAATTGAATAAAAGACGATTTCTTTGAAAAGCAGTGTTAATCTAAATCTTAATGTCTTAGCTAAATGAGCTAAAATTATGGTTTTTATTTCGCTATCACTAGGTTCGCGATCGATAAATGTTACAGGTTTGCGTTTTGAGCGGATATCTAAAATTTTCGCAGCTAAAACTATTGGTTTATTTTTTGAATAAGACCAGCACTTTACCAAGGATCATTTACAAAAAGCAGTCATTAATCGTGATATTTGCAATTTTCCCGGCCCACCTCCCGATTTACATACCGGTATCGCACACCTGTAAAGGTACATTCATAAAGGAAACAAATTTTAACGGAGTATTTTAAAAGCCTTAATGCTCCGTTACCCAATTTGTGCATATTACGAGCATTTTGCGAATCCGCTTAGCTGATCCTGGAACAAACCATTTCGTCGCGGAATTTATTCGAATTAATTTCGATTTCGATGATGTCTAGGCGACGGTGACGGTGAGAGGAGGTTGTAAACCTTTATGGTTGTTGTACAGTTAATGCTTCCGTTACTTGTTTTTATCGTTTCTAGGAGTTTACCTAAACCCGAGGTTTATTAACAGTTGTCATCTTGACGTTTTGATTAATACGTTCAATGGAGGAGATTTGAACGGCTTTCGGCATGCTGGGGATTCTATGACGGTTTTTAATAAGCGAGATTAATTGATAAAACTGAGGAAACCATCAATCAAAAATTGGAACTTTCTCTCTTCCTCGCATTTTTGCTCGCCTCGGATTGTGAGATCGCTATCGGCAGTTATAAAGGACGAATTTTTATTGTTGGGTTGTCGAGGAAGCTTCAATGTTAAAGCAATCGTTGTTAGAAGATGGTATCGGGGTAATTAACGACGCCATTCCATTCATATGTTAAATTGAATTAATTACATATAAGAGGATTTTCTATGAAACGGTGAATAAATGCTTCACCGTTACTTCTTTTAAATGAAGCCCTTGTTACGTGAAGAACTAAATTATATTTTACTTATTTTGAATTATGCTGTGTTAGACAGTTGTTGTTCTTACGTGATGATAAACAAACAAACTCATTATGAACATTATGTTACTGAGATGTATACTGTTATTCAAATTTACTGTTGTTGGAAACAATTAGGTAGCAGGCTAAATTGAAGGTGAATTACGAATGCGTGGAAAATATGCTGCAATTTCTATCATGACTGTACTGTCAGAATAATCAGTAAATGAAATTATTCAAATAATGATCAAAAAGAAGTTGTGTTTGTCATTAGAACTCGTTCTTCGTTGCCTTATATAGCTGGTAAATTGAAGGGTAATCACTCAAGTAGTTTTCACGTTTATTTTGCTAATTACGTCGTCAATTATTATTAAAGGTACAGCTATTATTAAAGATCCAACTAACCGTTCCCGAGATATTCAACGGCTTCCATACTTTTATCCTGTATATCGATAAATAATACTAGTCACAGTGTAAGAAGCAAATCAAGGTGATCTAAGCGCGATCTTTGTATTATAAACAGAATGCTCGAACCAACCAACTGAGCTATTTAAATAAAGGAAGTAGTTAATAGTGATACAATTTGGATTCCTAAAT